CAGATCATTTCACCCTTCTGCTCATCAGCACTAATGGCCTCCTGTCTTATAGAGTAAAAGGTAATATGCTACATTACCTCACAATGTTAAATAAACACACAGATGCACTTTCATATGCCTGCCATGCTCTTCCTCTGACAGGATAACCACCTAATTTATTGTTCAGATTGAGGAACTTCTAAGAGATTTAAAAAAAGCTTTATTGATAATTAAATTGGGGGACAATAAGCATAAACAGGAACTTTCTCAAGCACGCTAGAAATCTGGTCACTTGACAGTCTCATGGCTCATTCTCTCATTTTCATTTAGGTCTTTATGAAATGCCACTCTCTTGGTGAGGGCTTGACCTCCATTAAAAATTGCATTACAGGGTGTGGGGAGTGTGACTCAGTGGTAGAGCAGTTGCCTTGCATGCACAAAGTCCTAGGTTCAGTTCCCAGTACTGCAGAATGAATGAATGATTGAATGAATGAGTCACATTCCTGTCCCTAATCTACAATGCCCTCACTGATTTATTTTTTCCTCATGGCACTATCAGTCTGACAGAGATTGAGTTTTGATCAGCTGTATGTTTTTGTTGACCTCCCCTCTAGAATGCAAACCTCAATTCCCTGCAGGGATTTTTATCTTTGGTTCTCTATATGATACCTCCGGTCTCCACATAGTCTTGAACACCATAATAAATGATCAGTGCATGTATGTTGAATTTGAATAGGTTGTCAGAGGGGAGGACATGTTTCTTGAACAGTCTTTTCCTAAATTGTTTTTCTTATTCCTTTCTATTTATTTTGGCAAATCCTTTGGCAATTGAGACCATAGAAGAGTTTTCTATCCTAAGAGAAGCAATAATGAATATTACCATGATACCCTAATATGTGGACTCTCTAAGGAGGGATGTTTGAATCCAGACCAGCATATTTGCAAGAGGGAAGAGAGGACTTCTTACCTTTAGGGAAGCGATGTGTCTGGGGCCCTGTCCTGGAAGTCATGATACTGTGACTGTCAGTGCCAGGGCCTTGATCTGTGCCAGAACCAATTACCTACTCAGTGGGCACTTGCTTTCCCTTGCCCTTGGTCTCTTAAATCTGTTCCCAGATTGAGACCCATATTCATAAGGTGAGCAGTATATCATGTTGAACTTTTCCTTAGCCAGGATTCTAAAGGTTTCTTTTCTGAAACATTCTCAGAGGAAAGAAGAGATAAGACATGGGGTGAGAGACAGAACCCCCCCCCCCCAAGATTAGTTGAAAGTGGTCATTGGGACTCCTCTGGACTGACTTGTTGAAGATGGATTGCAGTAGGGACAAGAAGAGGAAATAGTGCCCTGCAGGATTTCTATAACTCTGGTTTTCCTAAAAGTTTCTGATATGCCTGAACAGCAGTGAGCTGGAGACAGGAGAGTAAAATAGGTCATAGAGATGTGCACAGAATATAGCCCTTATGGCTTTTGAGAAGTCATGATACCACAAGTCAGTATTGAAGAAGTACTGAGTTTAAGCAAATGTAGCCAAGAGTCTAAAAAGGGAAACCTTGAGGAAGCTCCTGATTCCTCATTATAGTTTCACTTATTTTGGAGCCAAAAATCTTAAGCAAAACAGTTGTGTGGTAGAGAAAGTCACTTTGCAAAATAAAAGGAAATTCCCTGGTGTAACCTTAATTTAGAAAACAAAGTCCTTTGCAATCTCAGCCTTCTAGTCGCATTTCCAGGAGACTAATCCATGTCCTATCTTTTCACACCTCTATCATCACTCAGAGTCTAACTTTGCAAGGCTTACCTTGACGTGACCACCTCTGAAGCTTTTCGCAGGCCTCTCAGTCAGAAATTATCACTTTCTTCCCTGGGTTTCTCTTGCCCTTTGTTTGTTACAGCAAATTATTTGAAAAACCAGACCAAGCAGCATGTATCTGCCTATCTCCTGAGTGCGAACATGAGCTCTTAGAGCCCGGACTCTTATTTATCCTTGTATTGACCCAAACCTTTCTGAGCAACGACCAGCTGATGCATTCATTCCCTCTCCCCCTGCTCCTGTAGTGCCTCACACATAGAATCCAGTGACTTTTTTTTTTTTTTTTTTGCTGGCTAAAATTGACTCTGGTTTAATCAAATGAATGGGTTACACAGTAGACTAACCTGACTCTTCTTCCCCTCCCACTCTGGGCAGTGACCCGCTTGTGGCTGGTACACCGTGCTCCTGGCTCAGTCATACTTACCACAGGGGACACTGTTTGCTTGGCTTAGTCTTGACTTCAGCATTGTCCCTTTGATCTCTGCCGCCTGCCCCACCTTGCCCCCACCATTGTCCTGCCCTGGGAACTAATGTTTCTCATTCCCAAGCTCAGACCTCCCCACATCTTTTCCATGACACATTCTAAGATGACATCAAGAAATTAGTTAGGCTGGGGAGTAGCTGCAGTGGGTTTCAGGGTATGGCCTGTCAGTCCCCAAGAGTTCTAGTTTGGACCAGCTCTCTCCTTTTTATCTGCTCACTTTTTTTCTTGTCAACTTAGGGATGGTATAAACTGTGATGTGAAGGGTTTCCAGTTGTGATCCTGGGAGAACTTGGATTGCCATTTTGACGAAAATCCTTCTGTTAAGAGAAGTAAATAGGGGAGTGATTGTATATGTGCCCTGAAGCCAGTCTGCCTGGATTCTAATCCTGCTCTACCACTTACTAGTTGTAATCACAACTCAGCCAAATGGGGTCATACTAGTGACCCCATTCATTCATAAATAGTTATTGACACCCCCCACTCCAAGGTTGCTCTGGATGCTAGGAAAATAGTAGTGAAAAGATGAAAATGAGTTAATACATTTAAATTACTTAGAACAGTCCCTAACATGTTGTAAGTACTCGGCAGATACAGTAATATTCTGTTCCTAGTACTTAGAACAGATGCTTGGTTGGGATAACCTTTGGGAGCAACTGAAGGACCAGATCTCTCTGAGAAGAGGAGAGATACAGGAAGGGCTAAGTTAGGTTCTAGATTTGAACTTAGGTCCAGGGCAGCACTGGCTTGAATGGCCATTTTTTATTTCTTCTGGCATTTCATTTTAAGGTTAAATACATGAACTGGGTAAAGATATTCCTGGAAATTTTATGAGTCTGATTAGTTCTATAGAAAGGGCAGGAGGAAATGGCCCTGGACTCCTAGATTCTGCCTAGTCCATTTGTATGGACACCATATGCCCACCCAATGGTGTATGAACAGCCCTGAGAGAGGCTAGGCTTCTTGAACAATGTGATGGAGAGCCTAGAGACTGGAGGCAGGAGAGCAGCTGTTTGCCTCTCCACTCCCAGGACTCTCTGCCTATAGAATAGAGGACCTTGTTTTGGAGGAGGAAGTGACTTGGGGGTTAGAGAGCTGAACCTGAGAAGGAGAGTGAGGTGGGACAGAGGTGGCAAGCTCTGATAGTTTTCCTCCCATTTCAGGTCATTATTCCTCAAGGAATGCTGCTGAAGATGTCTAGTGTGACAACTCATAGTGTGATTATTGCTAGAGGCAAAGTTTAGACCCAAGGATACTGATTCATTGTCTGTGGTTTCCAGTGAAAGTCCAAGCCTTACTGAAACCTGATGTTACATTGCAATAAAAAGAAAGAAAGAAAGTCCAAGTCTGAGATAGTCTTTATGGAGGTAGGGTTGGAATGGAAATGAGCGTACTATTTCTTTAGCTACACCCCACTCTGGGAAAGATCACTACAGTCCTGACCATGGGTCAGCACCTGTTCACTGCTTCTCATACTTCCCTTCTTCCATTCTTTTCCCACAGGGGATTTTCAGAAATGAATGCCTTTATAGCACAGAAAAGGTGTCTTGACATGAGATATGGGCCAATCTCATGGGCCAAGGAGTCTTGGGTTGGTTCCCATGTGAGTCGCTGGCATGGCTGCTCTTAGGGACCTGCTCCCTTGGCTGGGAACCATGACAATTGGCATACACAGGGACAGATGAAGTAGTTCTGGGCCCATTCCAAGATTCTGAAGTGCAGCCAGGTTTGGAACCACTGGATACCATTCTCTTTCATCTCATTTATATTATACTTTGTTCAGTCTTTAGGCATTACTTCAACTCAGTTCACCTTAGTATATGAAACTAGAACTAGGCAAAGCATTTTGCCGTGGATGTACATCCCTAGTTCATTACATAGAGAAGTAAAGATAATATATTTATATCAGTGTTTCTCCACTTTTTTTCCCTCTTTATCACCTCCCTTTTAAGACATTTTTTCCCTAATAACCCCCTCTCAGGAAATTATAATGTCAGTTATACCAAAACTCTGTAATTCTACCGTATATATACCTTTGTAAGATCCCTTAAAAGAGTAACTTTTTTTCATCCCTCAAAAACAATTTTTTCGTCTTCAGGCTGAAGATGTACTTCAGTGATAAAGTGTTCGCCTGGCATGTATGAGGCCCTGGATTCAATTCAGACCATGAAAATAATATTTCCCCCCACTGAGGGTGTATAGATTATATAAAACAGCAAGCAGCCCTCCAAAGCTGTGCCGGCTTCGTTTCCCATCTCCTCTAACTGGCATCATGGCTCCATAATTTTTTCTTATTTCTCAGTTCGTCAATCCATTTTGCTCCCTCTCCCTTCTCCTGGATTTAATCCTTTTTCTCTTTCTAGCGTAGAAAGTGTGGTTGTAAATTTAGGTAAGATAGTGATTTGTAGAATTCAGAGACAACTTAAGGAAGGTGATTTCCTAAAACAGCTGAGAGGTCATTCCTTTGGAAGAAAGATTCTAAAGATCTTTGGAATATTCATGGAAAAAACATAATAAACCTAATGAATGGAGGAAATAAATGCCTAGAGTTGCCTTTCAGAGGAGAAGGTCTCCCAAGAATTCTTATCAGTAGGCTTGATATGGATGTGCTGTATTGGATCTAACAATTTTATATAAATTCATTCAGGGAGGGTTGATGTGAGTTCTGTCATCTGGATGTCAGATTCCTTTTCTCTGGCCATACAGTGACAGTGTCTCCTCTCCTCTTGTAGAAGCTACCAGAGGCATGCAGAGTTGGTAATGGCAGGCCCTTTGTCATGCATCTGCAGAGTCTGTATGTGGCAGTCACCAAACAGGAGGTCCAAATGGGACAGAAGCATCAAGACACTGGTGAGTAGCCTCAGACATACCTGGTCTGCCTAGGGTTAGAGCTGGGGTGAAAGTTTGTGTTGCCCAGTATGATAGCTCTAGTTACATGTGGCTTTTAAAATTTTATTTAATAAAAATAGGGGCTGAGGTTGTGGTTCAGTGGCAGAGCACTTGCCTCCCACATGTAAGTAACTGGGTTTGATCCTCAGCACCACATACGAATAAATAAACAAAATAAAGATAGTGTGCCCATGTATGATTAAAAAATTAAAAATAAAATAAATTAAGTTTCATTTCCTCCTATGCTCTAGCTACATTTCAAGTGCTCAGTAGCCACATGTGGCTACCAAGTTGGATAGTGCAGATACAGAACACTTCCCTCACTGCAGAAAGTTCTCTTAGGTGGCACTGGCGTAGATGCTTAGGAGTGAGCAAGAGAATCAGTGGAAAGGTTAGTTTCCCTAGTAAGAGACATCAGGTAACATAGAGAGAAACAGTTGGCTCTTTCGTGTTAGGAGTACTCTTATCCTGCCTGCTGAGAGTGGGCCTGAGAAATCTTTGTAGAAACAGAACAGAATCTTCTGAAAGTCAGCTGAAAATTGGATTGTGGCTTCTCTGTTAATTGATAGTACCAAACTCTGGCCTTTATCTGAATGTTTGGTAAATGCTAATGTCCTTCTAGTAAGACGGCATTTCTCACTATCCTTTCTTGATCCTTCTAGTTTCAGGAGATGCTCATACCTCAAGCAGCACCTTCCTTCAAGCTACTGATAACCAGCTTCCAAGTCAGCCAGAACAGCCAGTCTCTTCAGCACCAGCCCTCTCAGTGCTTGAAAAAGAGCCCCTGGTGAGTGGCAAGTAGCTTCTTGGATGGCATTCCATGCACTGAAGGAATTGGCCCCTGTAGCCCTCGAACCAGTGGTCCTTACAATTGCTGCCTCATTGATGCTGTTTCTATATTATTAAGGGATATTTGTGAGCAGACTTCCAAATAATGGAGAGTTCTTGTCTTTCACATCTTCCCTTGCTGTCTCCTCTCTGCCATTCTTGTGCTGAGTGATGAACCTTGACTCCTTTTCACCTTAACCCACTTTAGGTAATGGTCTGTGAGGTTGTTCCTGGAGGAGAAAGAACATGTCTTATATCACATTTAGTGCCTGACACAGATTTCAAAATACCCATGTCAGACATTTCAAGGAGGCCTCATCCTAACCAGGAGCCGGGAGAGGAAGAAAGTCCCTTTTCCAATGTCAGTGGGTCTGTCTCAAAGCCTCTATTAACTTGGGTTCCTTTTTATCTAGGATACTTCAGGCCCTGTGCAGAGAACTCAGCTGTCAAAGGTCAAGAGGAAGAAGCCGCGGGGCCTCTTTAGTTAACCAGTCATGAGCTCAGCTGCTGAGGATGCACCAGAAGAACAACTCCCAAACATCACATGGAAAGGAGCTCACATGACAGTTTCTCTCAAACAGAGTTACAATCAAAGGTCCACTCTCAGAGCAAGAGAACTAAGCTCATGGCGACATGTTTCCTGAATGGGTTACTGTTAAACAAGAAAAGCTTGGTGCCATCCCATGGAGCATTGGCCTTCCCTGGTACAGTGGAAGCCAGTCTCTGGAATCCAGTCTCTTTTGGTGGAGGTTCTTTAGACTTTAGGATATAGAGCAAGTCTTCAAAAAGGAACTGTGTGTCCAGGAAGCCTGTGTATTCCTCTTCTGAGTCCCTAGCCAGTCCCAGATGCTCCCCAGAGACCCACTTCTCTCTTTAGCATAGAATTAAAAGCACAGTCCCTTGTGTTTGAGATATGTATCTGTGGAACTCAACCCACCTCACCTCACCTCACCTCACCTGTTGTCCTCTCTGGGTGAAGTCTGTGTCCTCAGTCCAATCCTTCAAATTTATCTTAAGCTTCTCTGTTGTAGTCTGAGCTAAGACTCCATTTCAGAGGTTTTGATCTCCAGAATTCTTTCCATAAGCACAAGATAAGATACACTGCTGGGCTGGGGAAATAGCTCAGTTGGTAGAGTGCTTGCCTAGCATGCACAAAGCCCTGGGTTCAATCCCTAGCACCACCACCCCCCCCAAAAAAAAAATACGCTGCTGCTCTCCTTTGCCAATTGGATGTGTTTTCTGCCTGCTTACAAGATCTAAACAACAGGTTAAACCACAGTGCCATGTTGAAATTACAAAGAACTTTGAACACTAGGGCCAAGGTAGGTTCTCATGGGTGGGAGAAAAATGAATTTGACTTCTTCATTCTTCATTCCACTTTAGATAACATACTAAGTAGAGAACTAGGATAACAGAGAATAGGAAGTGACCCAAGAGTTCCCAAGGACAACAGAATTGGCCTGTAGAACTTTCCTACCAGGAAAGAGTGTGAAGGCATAGGAAACAGGCAAAGTCTGAGACAGTCACCTCTTGAACACCCCAGGACTGGCACAGTCCCTTGACCTTCTCTGCCAGGTCTTTCTCAATTGTAACATTATCTTAAACTTCACCTTGAAGGCAGAGGAATGAAAGTCAGCCTTAGACTGGGAATCCCAGCTTCTTGAGAGACTGAAGCAAGAGAATCATAAGTTCAAGGACCATCAGTTCATGGCCTGCCTGGGCAACTGAGTGAGACCCTGTCTCAAAATAAGAAGTAAAAAGGATTGAAGATGTAGCTCAGGAGAGAGCACTTGCCTAGCAAGCACAAGGCCCTGGGTTCAATCTCCAGTGCCTCCCCCAGTGAAACACACACACACATACACATAGTAGAACTCAGATGTTCACTGGGAACCCTGCAGTAGCAGGTGGGAGAATGCAGAGGCCTTTTCTGGTGTGTTTACTTTTGCTGGCCTCCTTGTCTGTGTTTCCTCTCTAGCTGGGTTAATGTTTCTGCATTGATGTAGCCCACAGAAGGAGGACCATTCAAAGAATAATAAAGTACTAGTTATTATAATAAGAACATCAGCTACCATTTATTAAGCCATTAAAGTGTATCAAGTAGTCTGTCTAATAAGTGCCTGACATTGAAGCCTCACAACATCTGAGGAAGATACTGTTCACTCAGTAGGAAATTGAGTCTTTAAGTGATTGAGTGACTTAGCGAAGGTCATGCAGCTAATAAGTGACAGCAAGAATTTGAACTAGGGGCTGGGGACGTGGCTCAAGCGGTAGCGCACTCGCCTGGCATGCGTGCAGCCCGGGTTCGATCCTCAGCACCACATACAAACAAAGATGTTGTGTCTGTCGAAAACTAAAAAATAAATATTAAAATTCTCTCTCTTTAAAAAAAAAAGAATTTGAACTAGGACTACTGAATTCTTAACAGCATTATTACAGATACACTGAAGACACTTGTCTTTTTTTTTTTTTTTTTGCAGTACTAGAATTGAGCCCAAGGAGGCTCTACCACTGAGCTAGATTCCCAGTCCTTTTTGAGACAATCTTAAGTTGCCAAGGCTATCCTTGAACTTCTGATCCTCCTACTTCAGTCTCCCAAGTTGCTGGGATCACAGGTGTAGTTGCTGGGATCACAGATGTAGTTGCTGGGATCACACCCAGCTCTGGAAACACTTTTTCCAGGAGTGCTGTTGGGTCTTCTTCCAATATTGTATAGCACCCACCTTTATCCTACGACCCTGCCTCCTTCCAAGGGATGCTCCCCTCCATGTGGGTTCTTCAAGGCAGGAAGCTTTGAGCGCACTCCAGAACTCATGCCCTTGTCTTTTCCTGCCAACAGCTTTTGAGAGGGCCACCAAGCATCCCAGTTGCTAGTGATAACTTCTCTTTACCTCCAGACCATAGCACCCCAGTGCGTGCCCACTAGTAATGACTATCATCAAAGCAATTTGGAACCTATGTGAAAACAGCGTATCAGCTGGGTCACCTTGTTCTGTACTTTCCTTTTAGCATAAATCAGGTAGCCAGATTTTGGAGTTTTCATGATATAAGACCACATAAAAAAGGGAGGCTTTCCCAGCAAGCTTGGGGAAAAAATAGGAGTTCTTTCACTCTGGATAAATCCCTCTGCCTAAGAGCAAAGTCTCAAGCAGGCATTTTTAATCAGGGGGACAAGGGGCCTATGACTTTCCTAAAATTGTAAGAAAAATCCTTAGAGTATAACTTTCTTCATTTCTTATAAGATGACATGACTTTAAAAGTTAAGTAAGTTTATGCCTGAGAACCTTCCTGTCCACTACCCCTGCATTCTCAAAGGTTGCTCCCTCCTTAAGGGCATTTCTTAAATGCATCCTCAGGGAAACATCCCTGCTAGAGGCCTTGCCTTGGGTATCCTTGAGCCCTTACCCAAGCTGGGGGTAGTGGTTGAGAATTATTCTTCCAAGGAAATCACTGCTTTGACAAATTGGCCCAGCCAGGCTGTATTCCAGCCCTGCCCCCTGGCTTGGGCCCCTCCCTGAGGCCCCCAGCCTGGCCCAACCCCCACTCCAAATGCACATAAAAGGGTCGAATTCTCGTGGCTGCTCCATAAATTTTATTCCGTAAATATTAGTTTTCCCTGTGTTTAATAAAGCAGTGGCCCACCTCCCCGCCTACCCGCCCGCTCCCCGGGGCCGGGGCTGGGGCCAGGGCTGGCTGGTGGGAGAAGGGACTCTTTCAATTGCTTTGGAGTATTTTTAGAAAAAAAAATAATATAAGGTGGTTTACATGAGCAAGCCAGCAAACCAGGAGCAGGACTTGGGACCTCGAGGAAGTTCCTGCAACAACTTGATCTAAAAAGTAGAGAAATAGCGCCACCTAGGTTGTAGGGTCTACTTGGCCTTGCTGGCTGGTCCCAGGGCAGTCAGCTAAGACTCGCATTCTCCTTTCTGGGAGAGAAATCCTCATCTCTATGCCCCAGCTGGGTAGCTCCACCTTATTTCATACCTCATGAGGCTTCTTTCTCATCAACCCTTAAAAGCACAGTCCAGATTGGGTTCTGTATAATCCTGCCAGCGCTTTTCTCCCAGATCAGGGTTCCAGGGTATGGTAAAGTTACTGAGATGGAGGAAGGAAGCTTCTAGTCACCATCTTCCCCTGAGACCTGAGGAACTAGCCCCAGAATTGCTAGGGCATAAGGTAACAGGGAGTAAAATCTGTGCTCCTGTGCTCTGGATGGCAGAGTCTATCCCAGTCAGACCAGAATCCTTCCATCAGCCTGCTATGGGGCACCTACCATGATTGGCTGCAGGACACTGGGGGAAGGAAAGATGCCACCTCTTCTGATACTCAACCCTACTGCTTCTTGCTTTTATCCTGTGGTACATTTGGACTCCTTTGCTTTCCTTCCTGTTCATTTAAACCTTCCTTTCCTAAGTCCTTCCCTTCTCCCTAGTCCAGCTCTGTTGGGAGATATTCAGGAGCCCTTGTGTACTCTGTGCAAAGATGGTAGCAGGAGTAGGGCAACACTTTCTCATTCCTGACAGTGTCACCAGGGATAGTTTCTTCTCCTATTTTGTCCCTCACTTTCTCTTACTTTTTTAACTGGGAAGATTTGCTCCAAAGAGTTTAGGGAAGCCTAAATCCTCATAGTAACCCCCATGTGGTGAGCTCACTCTGATCTGTCTTGCTATTAATGTAATCTGTATTAGCAGGCACATTTGTGATTTTTTTTTGTTTTTCTTCTTTCATTAGCTTATACTCCATGAGAAGAGAGTAAGTTTTTAACCTAACTCAGAAAATATACTGTGATGGTATTCCAGTATAGTACAACGAAGTGTTAGCTGAGTTTTCAAACACTTTGACTCACCTAGGAAGATTGTGCCAGATATGTTTTTCTACACTTTGCCCTGGAGTAGTTTCTGTCTTCTAATTGTCCCAAAGAAGAAAGTGTTCAAAAGGAGTAAATAACATACTGCAAGGAAGCCACCAAACTCAGTGCTCAAAAACCATGGTCACTAATTCCTGTTACCAACATTCATATATGTATGAGCTGACAAAATTGTACTGGATGATACTGGGCCCTTACATACAGAGAAAAATGTGGGAAAAGGAGAAAGCTCACACTTTAAAGGGGTGTTTCCCTATTGCTGTAACCCTTAGGAAGCTTCTAGAGGATATTCCTGTCCAGGGTTCCCTATTGCTTTAGGTCCCTTTCTTGTCTCCTCTGTGATCCTTATCTGTGGCCAGGGTCACAGATGATCCCACCCTATGGGAGTGTACCAGCAAGGAAGGTACCAGGTAGCCTGTCTGTGTGTTAGGGACAGGGACCCTGAGGATTCGTTCTGTATTTGAGGAGCTGGAAAGTAATACATCTCTCAGTCTTTTATCCCAGAACCCTTTTATGTATACTTTCCATCTCCTGAGAATTTCTCTATGGTCATCCTTTATGCATCCCCTCAGTTTTAGGGGTCTCCTTTCCGTACTCTGGTACCTGGGATGTCATTAGATAGCACCAAAGTATTCTAGCAAATGCTCACTCTTCTGAGCTGGTAATTCCCACCCCCACTGAGTTTTCTTATCTGGAACTCAACAGATCTTTTGCCACTATTTACACCCTTGGACCCCTTTGAATAAGTGCTGGTCCCTAAGCACCCAACTCTCATGGATTCCTAAGAATCTGGACCAGCCTACCAGGGGAACCCGGAAGAGGCATTGAAAGAACTCCAGGGTGTGGGGAGCACACAGCCTTTGACTCACCTGGGAAGATTGTGCCAGGATTACTTGTCCTGCTGGGCCAAGGGCCAGCAGTTAAAGGAACATGCAATGCCACACTCTCCTCTTCACTTTGGGGTCCAAAATAGTAGCAAGGTTAGAATAGGGAAGTAGGGCATGGGGGCTGCTGGGAGTCCCTTCTGAAATCTGGGTGTTGTATTTACTTTTTCATATTGGCAGCTGGAAGGGGAAGCCCATCCCAGCTTGGCATTGTTGTCTAACGTGGTTAATCAGATCCTATAATCCTGCTGTGGAAATATTGGGCCTCACTCAAAACAATAGAGACCAAGAATATTGTAGTTAAATTTCAACCAACTGCCTCCCTGGCCTGTTTGCCTAACCCCTACCCCCCTCTCTAGGGCCAGAGTCCTCCCAGCTTTATGGACCCCTGATAGGATCGACAGCTGGTCAGAAATCGGGACAGGAGACAGGAATGGAGTAGGGGAAGAGCGATCCCCTTGACTGGCACTCCATCCTGCCTTCTCCCTCTCTTCCAAGGCCTTGAAGGGTGGATAGAGGATGATAAAATGGGTTCAAGCTGGTAGGGAAGCCCTACAGGTGTGAGTCTTAGCTCAGGGGTCAAGAATAGTACTGCTGGGAATCATTGGTGACAAAGAGATCTTTTATTCAAGACAGAAAAAGACCTCTGCCAAGTGAGAAGGAGAGATTGTCAGTTTCATTTATTACTGGTGTCTGATGCTTCCAAGGCACAAAGCAATACTAGTTGGTCCTGTGTCACCCATGGGAGGAATGGGAAGGCACTGGTTGGGTGAGATGGAATTTTTTGTGTCATCAGTAATCCAATAACAGCAATATTACTACTGATACTCTGATGATATATAAAGGTGATACTGATAAGACAACCTGAATGCTTTTCTGATGGTGGTGATGTCCATTGTGTTTAATAAGTACAAATTAAATATGGCAAAATAATTTTTAAAATGGAATAGCAGGACAAAAGGGATAGGTTGTTTGAGAAGATAGGTTAATTTTGAATCAAAAATGGAAAAGATGCAGTGTCTGGATTTTGCGAATGGGGAGATTGAACACAATGACGTGTTAAGCAAGAGGCTGGGAGAGTTCCTCCTGCAGATGCTTCACCCGACTATGAAGTGGCCAACTTGAGTTTGAACTTGGCTGTTCAAACCCAAGACACAGGGACATGGCTTGCAGCCACGCTGTTTTGGAGGCGTCACTAGTCAAGAAGGTGAAGTACAGTGAGGCCCCAGCTCCAGCACTCTGGACTATTGAACGGTCAAAGTGTATGTGCGTTTTTAGGATTTGAAGAATGAAAATCGCAGAACAGTGCCAAATGAAACTGCATTAATCTGTCTCCAGAGGGTGGGGGTGGCACTACAGCAGAAAACCCTGGCAGATGTTCTCACTAGGGTGCTCTGTGATGATCCAGGGACTGGTGTGGTCATTCATCAAAGCCAGGGTGAAGCAGGGACTGAACTTTCCACCTGCAGTACATCTGGGAAGCTGTTCTGAGAAATGAGAATCTAAGACATATGCATGATTCTGGACCGGAATCCCAGAAGTAACTTCATGGTGGTTGCTGACCGGGACTGAAGCAGGTAGAGAACCTGATACCAAATGATCTAAAAATGATGGAAAATACTTCAAAATGTAAGCAATTGGGTAATGAGTGGGAAGAATTCAATGAGAAGAAAGATTCCCACAGAAGCCCCAGAGGATGGGCTGTATTTCTGAAGGAGAAGAAGAATATAAGAAGCCAAGTTGGTTGGTTAAACCTCATGCTGTTCATACACTTGAATTGCAAATGGGAAAATCTAAACTGAAAACATCACTACAATGAATTTCCAAAGAATGGCACCAGTTTGTAGGCATTGTTGTAATAGATTTTTAAAAACCTATATTCAACAAGAAACAGGAATAATTAAACATGCGTTAATTTTAATCCTGTTGATTGAGTGCTTATTCCCTGGCATTCTCACCAACAGGGGTGCTCTGCTGCTTTCTAAATGGCCACAGGGACATACTCCCCGCGTTCCACAAGCCTACACAATACAAAATTGATATTTAAAGAATAGAATTTTTGCCCCAAATTTTAAGTTTATGAAATAGAAAGTGAGAGCCATGATAATACATCTTTTTTTTTAAGTTTAAAAGAATCCTATATGTAAGTACTCTTTTGTTACCTACTCTTACTGAACTATGCTGTTTGTCCATATTTACACATCAGTACATACATTTCATTTTTTTAAAAAAAAGAGAGGGAGAGAGAATTTTAATATTTATTTTTTAGTTTTCGGCAGACACAACATCTTTGTTTGTATGTGGTGCTGAGGATCGAACCCGGGCCGCACGCATACCAGGCAAGCACGCCACCACTTGAGCCACATCCCCAGCCCAACATACATTTCTTTAAAGAGTATATTATTTTGCGAGGTTGGAATCATACACCTGTAATCCTAGCAACTCGGGAGGCTGAGGCAGGAGGATCTTAAGTTCTAGGCCAGTCTCAGGAACTTGGCAAGACCCTGTCTCAAGATGAAAAATAAAAGAACTGGGGATGTAGCTCAGTGGTAAAGCACCCCTGGGTTTAATCCTCCATAGCCCCCCAAAAAGGAGAGGACTAAATTTTCTTTAACTGGAGTTTTATAAAAGCTTGGAAATGGGGCTGGGGCTGGGGCTCAGCGGTAGCACACTTGCCTGGCATGAATGAGGCAATGGGTTCCATTCTCAGCACCACATGTAAATAAATAAAATAAAGGTCTATCAACAACTAAAAAAAAAAAAAGTTTGGAAAACACCCTTGTGATCAGGAAGTAGAAAGTCAAGGTCACTTGCTCCAGTTTTTCTCTTAACTTTATCTTCTTCCATCGAAATGATCTCTTTGTCTTTCTGTAACATGCCAAGCATGTCAGGGTCTCTTTGATCTACGCAGTTGTCTGCCTAAAAGTTTCTTTCCCTAGATACCTGCTTAGGCAAAACCTTCACCTCTTTCAGGTCTTTGTTGAAACTATACCCTTTCAAAGAGTTCTACATTGACTACTCCATGGAGCAAGCTGCCTGCTGACCTCCTTGCTCCCCACAAGCTGGCTGACCCCCTCCATCCTGTTATCTTGTTTCATGTGTTTTTCTCATGGTCCCCCCTTATTGCCTTTTAATGCATTCTATGTTTTATTTATTGTATTTTTGTTTTTAATTGTTAATCTCCCCAACTCCTCCCCACCAGAGTAAAGCTTCATGAAGTCAGAGATCTTTGTTCTTTTGTTATTAATTTTTTTTTGTTGGTTGGTTTTTTTGTCTTCTTACATCCCAAGCATCTGGAATGATGTGTGGCATTTAGTAGGCGCTCAAAATTTTTGTTTTTGTGGAGTAAAAATATGAAGAAATGTTAATATGCAATCACACACACACACCTTCTCATACCACAGTATCTTGGGGTAGTTTTAAAAATTTGTGGTTATAAGCCAAAGTAGTGTTTTAGGAAGGGGAGAACCTGTCATAGGGTGGGAATAGGATTTAAATACCATTTTGTTATCAATAATTATAATGGAATGGATTTGTTATTTGTGGAAACTAAGAATACAAGTTGTTAAAAAGCAGGTGTCTCTATACTTTTTTGCTTTCTTTGGCTTCAGATCCCAGAATCTTTAGGGTGTTGTGTTTACCAAAAGGGACTGGTGAGAGTCTCAGTGGATTAGAACAAATTCAGTCAAAGAATGTTGTCAGGCATTTGGCTATTAAAAGAATAGTAGCCTCTTGCCTTATTGAAAATTCACTAAACTAATAGTTTCCAAGATTTTCTGCTAAGCAAATACTTTCTTTTCAAATAGAGGTACTAGGGAAGAAATGAAGCTCATTATTTAGTAAACATGTTATAATGCATAAAAATACAATTCTGTACATGTCTTTCCGTATGCAACTATCCGCCTACAAGGTAAGAGTTTCCCACCATCTTTGGTCTCTTACAGGAGGGGCAAATGCTCTTTTTGTAACTAATTTTGTTGCCTTTTCCTACCTTTTCAAAGTCATCAAAGCAAGGTCTTTAATGCCTGAGCCTCTCTGAAGTGCCTTGTAATGAGCTTATTGTTTGGACAAAGGTAACTCAACATTCCCATTTCTGATCAATAGCTAGCTTTCAAAGCATTGTTACTTTTGAGTAGCTCTAATTGGACCTCTAAATGTATTCTGGACAGATCTGAGACTTGAAAGATAAGCATGCTTCTATATGGGCCAAATTTGGTGGAATTACCAACCTCTTCCAAAAGTCAACAGTAGTTCAGTGATCCCAACCAGGTGGAGAAGTGGTCAGTCAGAGCATGAAGGCTTAAAAGCCTAAGAAGGTAACAACTCTTGAAGACAAAAACAATTTCCTAGATTTTGAAGAGAAAATGATTGACTCAAACACAGGTCAGCAACCCAGCATTCTTGCGCTAGGAGTCATTCACCGAGAAACTGTGCCATTGTACGGTCACACTGGCCTGGATTCCAGCTCCTCCTCCCTCATGTGCAAGCTCTGAGCCTCCATTTCTTCATTTGTAAAACTGAGATAATGGCATCAACTTTGGAAGGCTTTTGTGAAGGTTTGTGGGACGGTATTAGAGCCCCTCATCCCCATTGCCTCCTCATCTTGGCTTGTCCCACACCCTCTCCCTGAGTTTCCTTTTCATTTTTTGCAGCCATTTTTCCCCCTCCTTCAAAACTGATATCATCCAAGAAGTTTCTAACTCTGGGCTAATTGTTTCTTAATTCCATATTCTCCCAGAATAAATTCACCTAATCTGTTAACCTATCTAATTTCTAACACACTCTGTACTCATTTAGAGTGGCATTTGTGGCTTTGTAATTGCCTTTATTTTAATGATATATTTGTTAGGTTAAATAATAAATTCTTTGAGGACAACAACAAAATCTTCTATTTTGCTGTTGGCATTCTCTTTTTCTGTGTGCCCATTATGCTACTGTAGCAAGGTAGAGACTCCTTACAGAAAGATGTAGAACCTCCTGATCTCCAGTGCTGCCTGAGGGCACACACATACCTGAGCACCCTATACCCTCCAGACAGGTATAGGAATCAGAGGACTGCCACCACCCCTAATGAATCCAACAGAGGATAAAAGAAATTTATATACAACATTTGGACTTGACAGCTTGTATTTTTAAACACTGTCAACATCCCTATGAGATAAATGTTTTCATAGATGAGAAAACTGAGACTCAGAAGGTTTGTATACCTTGCCTAAGGTCACACAGATAAAAGGTAGCAAAGATAGTGTTCAGGCATGAATCTGCTACCTCCAGCTCTAGTGTTCTTTCTATTGCATCAAGGCTGCCATACACTGTGTCACTCGGGGACATTTGACTAACTGCATTCCTGAAACTTGTCCAGTTATGGTGCAGCACCCTTTGGTTTAGGCTGGATTGATCTGGTCAAGAGGCAGGATTAGGAGAAAAAGACTAGTTGGCTATGGAAGTATAGATCTATGTAGCACATGTGTGTTTGTGTGTGTGTGTGTGTGTGTGTGTGTGAATATTATGTATTATATATATTTTATACACACTTAAATGTATCTGAGTATATCACTTATATAGTACAAGTACTCTAAGTTTGTACTGTAATGTTAAATTTGTACTGACTAAAAATAATAACATGGTACAGCCAGGGGTGATGGTGCACACCTGTAATCCCAGCCGCCCAGGAGGCTGAGACAGGAGGATTGTGAGTTCAAAGCCAGTCTCAGCAATGGCAAGGCACTAAGCAATTCAGTGAGACCCTTTCTCTAAATAAAATACAAAATAGGACTGGGGATGTGGCTCAATGGTTGAGTGCCCCAGAGTTCAACTCCTGGTATCCCCCCAAAATAATTATAATAAAATAACACCTTAGACTCTACTATGCAGATGTTTAAATTATCAGACCCTATAATATATGTTCCTCCTTTAACAGCCTATTTTTCTAACTTTGGCTTTTAGACAAAGATTAATTGTATTGTCCAAAGCAACAGATTTTTCTTTGTTCTTTTCAAAATAGAGATGCCTGAGGGGTAGAAGAGATCTAAAGGTGAGAGAAGAAAGTGATTTTTACTAATAGGTACAGGACTCAGACATGAGGCTCTGATGAGGCTGATGAGGCTCTGTCTTCTCTGCTCACTCATGACAATTAGGTCAGGAGCTGTCCCAGACTGTTGATGCCTCCAGAATGGTCACCTTAGTTCTCCAGGTCTACTGCTGGCAGAGCCTGGCATGATCAGAAGGAGTCAGGCTTTGTTTGAAAAGTCTAAGGCACTGGCCCAGTTCAACAGCCACCCCACATCTACTGAACCTAAGAACATAGGCATACAAGCAATGACCCGGATTCTTTAGTCCTTATTTGGATTAAAAGTGCTTGTGGTCACTGCTATAGAAATCATGATACTTCCAATCATGCTACTCCTCCACCAGAAGAGACTGAACTAATCTACTTTTGAGATTCAGATCTTGAAACACAAATTGTGTCCTGAGAAAAAAGAGTATAGCTTTTCTATATAGTATAGAATGTAGTATAGAATATCTAGCTGCCTCTACATATTTTTCCTTTTTCATTTCATTTCCAGTACACACCCCATCACTGCTTCTTAGTGATAGGCCTGAGTGAGGAGGGTCTGATCTTAGCAAGTCCCAATCTCTGCCAAGGAGGCGGTGCTGCTGCAGATGCACTCTTGGCACCCAGCTGTAGCCACTGAATAATTTCATTTGTCTGATCAGATCTTTACAGATTTGTGTTCAATTGGATAAGAATCACAATTTAAGAGAGGACAAATGGAAAAGCTTGTAAATAAATAATCATAAATTAGAACCTCTGAGATAATCTTAAAGAAATGGTCTTTCACTTGGAGAACAGCAGATTGAAAGTGAATTTCAAGACCATGCATATGGGATACTAAGCAGGAAAATAGCCTTGATTGCTAA